CCCCCCCCCCCCCCCCCCCCCCCCCCCCCCCCCCCCCCCCAACACACACACACAAACTGTGTCAACACCAACCATGGCAACATGGACATGAGGGCCGCTTGGCAAAACCATTTTTCCTCTAGCAGGACATAGAGAGTTTGCACACACACACACACACACACACAGATGTGTGGAACGCTGATTCAGTGACTGTGCAAACATAATTCATGACTAACATTTCCTCTGTTTTGTACTTTTTGTTCCTGACGCCCAAACCTGACCTCCACTTTCAAGGTTCATTTCCACTTAAATCTACAGCCGGGATCACACACAGCCCGGAGACGAACAACAACATGTTCAACGTACTTTCTCCATAAAGTAAAGTCACTAAAGTCACTTTTATTTTACATGTGTAAGTGGCCCCTTCTTCACGGCTGGTGAACACCTTCAGGTTCACTAACTGGCTCATTTAAAACCTCGGCTGTGCTTCAATGTTGCAGACTAAATAATTAGATAAAAATAAAATAGATGAAAAGTCAGGTGGCAATGGACTGTAAAGGCTGTAAAACGTATTTGCACAAAATATACATTTAGGAATGTCATCATGTTTAAATCTGAAAGAAGTTCCACACGACAGTTTGGGGTTCTTGTTTAGCTACAAGCAAGTTTAGGTGAAAACTAATAAATATATATAATAAAACATAATTTCTCATCACCCCTGACTCTGCTCAGTATCTGCTCTCACTGTGCTCTGACTCAGTCTTGTCCATTTATTGATACTGAAAGAAGTTAGAAATGTTTGATACACATTAGCTGTGATTCTCAAAACAACACGTTTCACAAACTCGCTTTGCTCGCTCACAGTGGTTTCCTGCCGAGTCAGATATGATCTCCTCTCCGAAACGTTTTACTTTCATGAAATGATACAAAGTGCAAATATTCTGCTCGGGACAGACTAAAGAACCCATCTGACACCAAATGATGTTAGCATTGCATGAGAGGGAGCGAGGCTTTGAGGCAAAGAAATGAAGCGTCTGTGGTTTGACTGGAGACACTTCTGAAGAGGGAGCTCCCTCTTCGTCCACATTCCTCACATTACTACAGTCCTCTAATCACTCCACGATCACACACACACACACACACACACACACACACACACACACACACACACACACACAAAGAGAGTGACGAGAGACGATGAGAGAGAGAGAAAAAAAGACCATTCAAAACCGATGTTATTGTGAAACCAATATTGCAAAAGACTGCACATGTTGTACGTCGTCTATCGCTGCTGGTCACACGACCGGGAGGAATTCAGTCATCGGCTGCAGTATTTGCTGATCAAACACTATCTATACCCGTCAATACACGACGCACAGAGAAGGAGTTCTCTGGTACAAACCCTCTCTGATTCACTACGTTATGCAAGACGATGTGTCGATCAACCGACCTAAAAGACCACGGGGCACAAACCACGTTAGAAGAATAAGATTAAGCTCACTTTAGATAGGTCACCAAAATAGAAAAATGGAGAATGATTCAAAATATTAACTACAAACAATTAGTCAAGAAGTGTGACACGGGACAGGAACCTCGCAACGAGCAGCAGAGAGACTGTGGGCTGAGTGACTGTTAGGCCATCAGCTGACTTTAAAGGCATCAGAAGCATTTACACATTAAAAAATAATAAAAATAACCACAGCTGGACATTCTGACAGGTATGGTGATTGTTCATCTGAAGTAGCTCCTTATTGCACCGTAGAGTTTCTATCCGAAGCCGTTTAAAACTATTCATATGTGCTGATTTTGTGCAATATTAGTGTACCAGACATCAGCACAGATAGCTGTCATCATAGAGTTGAATCAATCATTTTTACAGAAGAAGAAAGAAAAAGCTTCAGAGAGGTCGACTCACCTGAGGCTGTCCCCGGCCAGACTTCCATAGCTGTCTGGTCTCTCCTGTCTTCGTCTGTACAAGTCGGAGTTTGACAACTCTTTCAGCCTCAAAGAGTTCATCTCTCACACACTTCCTTCCTTCCTTCCTTCCTTCCTACGCCTTGTTCTGCTGACAGTAAGACTCTAAAGTATGTGATCCAAATAAAAAGATGAAGTCTTGTGTTGCGCTCGTTCTCTCTCTCTCTCTCTCTCTCTCTCTTAAACACACCTCACACCCTGGAGGAAGGACATATGCAGAGGTGTGGTTTCGCAGCCTGCACACCTATCAAATACTTGTGGCTCACTCCTCCCCTTCCTGCAGCAGGTAGAGAGAGAGAGAAAGCCTTCAGAGAAAAAGGAGGAGAAGCTGCAGAAGAGAGAGAGAGAGAGAGAGGCTTTGCCCTCTCTGGCCTTTGCCCTTCTCTGTCTCTGTTTACCTCCCACGTCTCCCTGGCTCAGTCCTCGGTTCAAAAAGAAAGCCAGAGATTGACAAGCGAGTACAAACAACAGAAGAAGAAAAAGGCTGCTTCCCACACACACACACACACACACACACACACACACACACACATATAACGGCAAGAGAATAGAGATGCACTAAATGTCATTTAAAGTATGTACTGCAGTTTCCTTGTTACAAATGTATCAACACATACATTGACATGATGACTTCATAAAATATGTGTGATGAGCCAATATTAGCAGATAAAATCACTATCCAAAGTAGCATCGTTTCAATTTAAGAAAATAAGTGTTTCCTGTATGAAACTAGAAGGATCAAAGAAACCTACAGTGGAGTCATATTTTCATTTGACTCGAGCTCCACCATCGTAAACTGTGAGGTCACTTCCCACCACAAGCAGCACACTATTGTAAAATGGGGGAAAATGTCAACCTATGAATAATTCATCACAACGATGTGTGGGAACAAGAGAAACTCCCAAACAGACACTAAAACACAGAGGATGCATGTTTCCAGTCGGAGCTGAAAACTTGAGACGCGTTTAATTACAAGCAAAGAAGAAGGGACGGGAAGGTCAACAAGCAACAGAAGAAGAAACAGATGTAGCAGTGACATAGAACATGCTGTCTTATTAGCAATGCAGCTCTGGACAAAGCTTATTTAGGTGAACTGTGTTTAATCTGTGTGGCTGAGAGAAAGCACGTCTCTCCTTCATATAATATGCACACACATGTATATGCCTTATGAACGGCTCACACTATGCAGATTAACCTCCAGCAGCTTGCCTTGACCTGCTCAGCATTCCACATGAGTTTGACGAACACACCAAGTCGAAGCGTCAAATGTGAACGTGTGAACTCGAGTTCAAAATCAGCCCGAGTGTGTCAGAACACTCATAATGCTTTAGGCTTTACACCTGAGATCAATTCACTCATTATTCAGTGTGTTTGGAATGTGCATTCCCCTAAAAAACACTTAAAAACTGTCAACCGTCTTACAATGTAAAGCCCCCACACTGACTCATCACACACTCATTTCCTCTGAGCCAGAGACGCTCCAGAACCAACCTCTGTGCTAACATGAGAGCACTGCCACCGCGTGGACAACACCAGCACAACAGCTGCTCTACCCTAAAACACTGTGATGATCACAAATGTATTCGGGACTCCTGAAATCGGCAATGTGCGACGCCTTTTCAATACCGACGCAACAAACTGGAAAATATTTCTTAACATGTTCTTGCCTCTTGTCTTCTTTTCACCTCTTTATCATTCATTTAAACTAACAGGAGTCTTGGCATCACTCACACATACAAGAAGGAGCTTACAAACAAGTACATACGCAACAGTTTACAGAGCAGAGATGTACGCAATAGCACACCACTGACATCAAGCTGACTTCCTATAATAGCAAGACTTTCTCAGGCAAAATACACATTCTGCACAGCAGTTACAGTTTAAATAGAAGTAAAACACAACAGGAAGTACAGTCATCAAACACACAAGAGACTGAGTCTACAGTACAACATTCAAAAGCTATGCAGAGGTGTTAGAACGTGCACACAGCTCTATTATAAACAATGCAATCACACGACGCAAGCAATGGAGCGTGACTGCTGATTGGACGATTACAGCTATAGTTCTAACGGTAACTTAAACTTACCAATGTTTCGTCTCAAGCTGCAGAGAGATGCTGTTGCTAAAGTCCCTTTTTGCTGTCACTGCAAACACTCCTACAGCCGTTATCTGAGTCTGCATGGCCACATCACTTCCTGTTTGCTGTTTGCCGTGTGTGTGTGTGTGTGTGTGTGTGTGTGAGGGTGTGAATGTTTGTGTCCACTTGTGCCTATGTGCCAGATTGTGTTTGTGGGAGACGCGTGGATGTAAAGCCAGCACACAAACTTCTAGCCCTGTGTGTGTGTGTGTGTGGTTTAGGACTCCCAGAATGCCTCACAGGATGGAGGTGGGGTGTGAGGAGGAGGGAGGAATGACTAGGGGGTGAGAGGAGGTGCAATGTGTATCTCTCCAGCCTCCATAGAGGAGCTGAAGAGGCCAAAAACCCAGCGACCACACCGACTTTATACCGGGCGTGTGGATGATCCGCCATAATCATGGGTGTGCCTCCAAACATCTGCTACAACTGTGTCTTCCATTGCTGTTTCACAACAGTTTGTGTTGGTAACTTGACAGCACAATACTGTAAATAATGCAAGAGAAACTTAACAGGAATTGCATGAGACAAAAGAAGAAAAGCTTTAATTTCGAAAGCAAATGTGAAAGTACCCAAAACTCAACACACACACACACACACACACACACACACACCATGGAGGAACGGCTGCAAACAAATGTTTACTACATCCTGAAAACCTCAATAACTATAAAACTACTATAAAAAAGTCAATCATTCTCATAGTGTGTTGTAGTATAAATAAGCTGCTGAGTGCGTTTGCAGTGAACATCTCACACTTCCTCACACACACACACACACACACACACACACACACACACACACACACACAGTCCAAATCCTACGTCACACAAGTTCACCGCTCTTCCAAACAAGGACAAGTCCACACTGGAGACGAGGACATTCTTCTAAGCTCTAGTTGTGTCAACACCAGAGCGAATGCAATACGTCGGGAATGCAGCAATCCTCGAGGCCTTTAAAAGACTTTTAGTGTCCAGAGTGCTTCACAAAAGCCAGATTCATCCCGGGCCATGATTAACTCAGCAGTGCACACTGTCGCGTTCACACTGGTGGAAAGAAACGTGGCTCTGAACAGCAGTCCCCGGGGCGAATGGACGGTCAGGAAGTGGTTCAGAAAGCTATAAGTGCTGTCCGGTGAGTCTGAGAGGACATTCCTGTGCAGGGAGGAGAATAGAGGAACATCCTTTTTCCTTCTTTAAAGAGTCCTTCAGGCTGCTATCCTGTGAGTCTCTTCTGTCTAGTGTGTGAGTGTAGGTTGCCTTTAATTATAATTAAAAGGTTCTAAGAATAATATAGCATCAAACAACCATTAGTAACGTAAAGAGATAGTGGGGCAGTGGATACCTAAGCAGAGAATGAAGTCACTCTACCTCTAAATGCAACAAATATATGAGGTAATACTAAAAGTTCCTGAAATCCAATTCAGATTTACTATCGTTATCATCCAATGAGAGATAAAGAGCATTACCAACTTACAACATTTAGCTCAACAGTTTGCACATCAGCATCTACCGTATTAACACACAAATGCTGAGTTCACTATAAGTTACTTCATTATTTTATTACTTTGCTCCTGACACTATCATGAACCATTCTTTTTCATAAATGAATGAATACACAATAGAGTCTCTGTTGCTTCTTGGATATCCTCCTTACAGATAATAATCTGATTGATCGTTGAATTATGGAAATAGCAAGATTTTATAACATGTCATGTATATTTAAAAAACTCTCAGGTTATTTAGGGGCCAAGATGTGCCTGAAAGACCACTGCTAATAATAATTCAATCCAACTTTACAAACCGAACAGCACATATATATGCAAAAAAAAAAAATCACAACAAATAAATAAATAAAATCAAATCACTACGAAAAAAAATATAATAATAATTAAAAAAATAAAATAATAATGAGATAGAAAGTCTAAATTATTAGATACTTAAACACAACAGTCATAGAAGCAGCTCTTCACAGGTTCCTCTACATTTGACATATAAATGTATTGTGAGTACATTAAAGACTACTTTAAATGTGGCTTTACAACACATGAAATACTTCTGGCGTAGAAAGGATAAAACCGACTTTCTATCTCATAATTTTTCTTTTTTTGTAAATTAAAAAAAATTAAGTTAAAATGTTGTTGTTTTTTTTAAATGTTCCTGTATTTTTTGCTGTCATTATTGGGCGTCCATACTTCCATACGTGCATTAGGAAACAGGTCTTAAATATAAACTCAACGGTGCGCCAGCTAAAAGCTTCCCCCTGTCACACGGTAGAGGGCGCTTGTGAGCAGTTTAAGAGACCAAGTTGAGATTGTATACAACATTAAAGTGACTGAGCTACATTAGCTAGCTTCGCGTACTCAGCGTGTGGCTTATATAACTTTAACTTTCCGTGATAAAAGCTATTTTACGATGTTTGAATGGGTTTATCGTGACTAAATTACAGTTCTCCTAGCCCATGAGAGAATGGAACAAACCGGGGCTGCCAACTTTTTTTGTTTTTCATCCAGCGAGAAAACTGTCAACTTCCCAATTTATCACGAAAATGTCTTTTTAGGGAAACAATTATGAACTCCTCACTTACCCGTTAGTCATTTCAGTAACGCCAAGCATCGCTCCGCTCTCTCCCGGGACCAGACTAGTGTTGTCTGGCTTCCGGAGCTGATGTCCAGATGTTGTACAGTCAGGGATGTAACGCTGCTGAAACAGAATGGCGAAGACGGGCCTCGCCTCTGTTAAACTACCCTCAACGATGACTCAAAGGCAGTTACCACTTCCGCTTAGACTTTCAATGTAAAAGCTCTTGAAAGTGTCTCATAAAGTCAAACTATCCATTTAATTTCAAATAAGATAAAAAACTGAAATAATTTAAAATACTAAAAAAAATGAAATAATACAAATTATTTTTCTTAATCTGTTTGATATATTATATGTAATGATTATATTACAAATATATCTAAACATATAAATAATAAATAAATATAAAGAACAAAAAAGATTAAAAAAATAGATTTTAAAGAAAAAAGTGATGTTGAAAAGCTGTGCCTATTACTAGCACAATATGTTTAAATAATTGTAGTGTTTAGATAATGCCATATAATAATTCTTGTTTTGGTTTGGTTCAGCAAGCTGTCAGCAGATTTGCACACATCCACTTTAATCTAATATACAACATGTGTATATTTAATTTAAAAAAGCAATTATGATAACATAGAAGTGATTCTACCAACAGGCTTGCCATGATAGTAAAAGCACAATAACAAACATTAAAATAATTGGTGCTTTTATTTTGAAGGCCACCACGCTCGTTGACTGTTTTTCTTTGTACCTGCGGCAGCTTCTCATTCAGTCTGCGAGCGGCGAGCCACCGCTAGAGAATCACAATTTTCAGTTTTACGGCTAGAAAACGGCAACACCCGCCCTGCAAACTCAGTGCACAGTATGTTTGTGTCATAACAGATCAGACGTGCAGCCTTCTAGTTAATAGATTGATGCTGACTGCTGCTCCAGCAAACTGTTGAGCAGTTTTTAATCCATTTTTAATCACATGAAGCATCAATTCAGAATATATGGAAAGTCTGACTTTTCATTTTTCTGGCCACCGGAAACCACAGAAGTTCAACATGGCGAGCGGGTGCCGTGAAGAAACCAGTCCCACACCAAGAACCTCACTTTTGATAGAGATTGATGGGAATAATTGGCACACTACTACTCTGCAAGGTTCTGCAAAATAAGAAGATAGTAAAAGATAATATTAATAGCGAAAAATATCAGAAATTCATCACATTCAGCGAGGTTTTAATGATAGTGCTGCTCCTCCTTATCAGCAGATAAAGCATGTTATTCTTTCCTCCCCAGTTGCATGCAGTAGCTACTATTTGTTGTTTCCTCCCCTGACTGCGTCATGACACGAGAAACGACATATATTTCCTTAAAAGGGAAGCCCCTACACCCTCCTCCCTCCTCCAAGAGGGATGAGGACTTTCATAACGAGACAATCAATGAATACCTGCATGGAAGCATCGTTTCACACTGCAAGCAAAATTAGACTTTAGTGGTGATCTTATAGTCCCTCTTCATTGCATGTGTTCCTCCTGACTCACTTTATCCTGTTAAATATCTGTAAAACAGGTATGCTTCAAAATACGTAAATCCTCTTGCTGAAATAAATTGACTGATTTTATATAATGAACTGCAGATGCAAATTTTCACATCAAAATGCATTATAATGAAAGTAATTGGAAACATTTTCCTCCATGTTAACTTTATTTTTGTTTACAGCCGGAAACAACCAGAAAAGAAAATAAGAACCGTCAAGTTAACATCCTGTATATGCTCATTAATTTTTATACATATCCAATTCCTTAAGTTAATCTCCCATAGCTCCTCCTGAGATGAACCCTCATAAATATAAAAGCCTTCAATAAAAATACATTCACTTATGCTGAAGGAATCACAGAAAAAAGCTGCCACTGGAATGAGAGAATGAACAGGCGAGTTATCTTCAGCGTCAGTAGGACTTGAGCAGCGTAATGTCAGAGTGAGTGTGTGTGGGGGGGCTTTTGTGCAGAATTATCTTGCAGATGAAGTCTCAACAAATCTTTCATCTTCGGCAATTACAGCAGCACATCAACTGACAAAACCACAAAGTATTCCCAAAACAGATTGAACCATTGAAATCATAACAACCATAAATTTGACATTAAATAACAACAACCACAACAAATAATAACAACTACCTACACAGTAACCAGAACAAAATCTCAAACCAACCATCACTCTAGGATGTGATGAATCCAGGCAACGTGTAAATAATTAAATGTTTACTGGGATGTATTTCAAGCAAGTGTCAATTTTCCTACTGAAGGAATGGGGGGGGGGGGGGGAAGACAGCTGGCCTCCAAGGTAGTAAGACATATTAAAAAAAAACATTTAATCATGCCCTTAAATATTGTTAAAAACATATACGGTTTGTACCGAATATGCTAAAACTCCAGTACAATGTACTGTGCTACACAGGACAAGCCCAATAGAAGTGCAAGAAAAATCTTGGAAAGTAATCAAAGATCGGAAAATGATATTCCAGTTATTTCATGCTATTAGTTATTACCATGATGTGTACACATCATGTACGTTACACAATGTTTTCCACAGTGCTAATGATGTCTTATAATGCCGTTTGAGTTCCCCTTCAAGAAATGTCCAGTAACCAGTTATAAAACGGATCAAAAGTAAGAGTGAGGAAGACAGGAATGTGTCACAGTTAACTTTAATTGGTAGGAGACTAATGCAACTATTGCACCGCAAATTCAAATCAATATTAATGTCAAATGATTTCATCTCTACCACACACTTCTCTGATACATTCCTCAGTCCCTTCTATGGTGTGCCCTAAATTTAGTAAATGCCCCAGTTAACCTCCAACTTTTGCCACTAATTTCAAATGTGCGGCATCAGTGCTTGGTACATGTTTTCACAGAAAATGGCCCGGTAACATCTGGGCACTGTGCTCCTAGTGTTTGTGTTGGGTTGGTGGATCATCAAGTCTATCTGATCCCAGACCAGCTGTGAAGATAGGAGCTCCAGCCTGAGCCCCGAGAAACGGACCCCTCTTCCTCACCTGCACAAAGGAGATCAAAGGACACCCGATTAGAAATGGCAGAGACATTGACAGTATATCCTGCAGCACAAGAGGTGTGTGTGTGTGTGAGTGCGTGCGTGCGTGTAAAACCATGATTAACAGACCATTTGTGTGAGCATTTCTAAAGCCTGTCCACTTCGACCGTACCTTGTGCAATGGCCGCCAGTTTGCTTTTCTCCTCTGGACTGAGCTGCAGCATTGTGTGAATGACGGGCAGCAGCGCCTGCCTCTCGCTGCCAGATTGCAGGAAGATGAACTGCAGCAGGACGTTCTTCAGATACTCCAGGTTGGCCACGCTCTTCTCCCTCTCCTGGTTTCGTTCCAGACGACGCACTTCACTCTTCAGCAACTACGGAGGCAGGTAGAACATATATCGGCAACGTTAAATAATAAAGGCGTAAGTGTTGGCATCGTCCCTGCATTGAATATTATTAGTTTCCCAAAATCTGCATACCAACCTACACACTAGATCTTCCACTAGCGTGGACAAGATTTATTATTTGGTCAATAGATGAGCAACCAATGTCTGGCAAGTTGAAGAAAACACAAACCATGAAAAGAAAAACTGAACATTTTAACAGGAAACAAGTAGGGATGCACGACATACATCGGGCGGATAAATTAATGGTGAATAAAGTGTATTTACCAGTAAACAGCAAGCAACATTGTCTTAGTATACAGAGTTACATTATTATTGGGTTATAAATGTAGGTGTTAATAATAAAAACATAGCCAATATACGAATGGATTTATGTTGGTTTGCAAATGTCGATTATAATACGCGCGCATTACGCACACGCTCGGAAATGAATTTTGGACCGCGCTACTTCCCGTAAACTTACGTCACACATAACAAGTATGGCGGCGCCCTCTGAGCTGCTGCTACTGTCTGGTGCGTTGGGAGAGAAGCGTTGAAACGATTTTTGAACATTTATTAACTAAGCTCTCTGGTGAAATAAGTGTGGGATAATTAAACCGTTTATGCTCGTGAAAGATGGGTTTAGCGCGGTTGCTTTGCGGGGCCCTGGAGTATTACTCCAAACAAGTTCGACTCGTCAATATTCAGCAGATATTCGTTCGCAGAAGCAGTCGCGGTGTAGCTCACAGACAGCCGGCTGCCGGCTTCTGCTCCTCCGCGCAGCCCTTTAGAGACGTCGCCCTGTTCGAGCACGACAGGACCCGCTTCTTCCGGCTCCTCTCGGTCTTCTGCGGCGGACAGTTTCTCTTCTGGACGTACCTGGGCCACTTCGCTTACACTGGGCTCAGAGACACAGGGGGCGCTACTGAGAAAGCGAAAACCAGGACGTCCACCACCACCACCACCGGACTCGCCGGGATGTGGAGTGTCGAGATGAACCTGGGGTCAAGCGCCTGGAGGTACGGCTTCACGCTGGGATGCCTGAGCATAGGAGCGGGGATCGTCGGGCTCGGGCTCCTGTTCTGCAGGCGCTCCGTCAGCCGGGTGGTTTTACATCAAGGCGGGAGGATGGTGACGGTCTCCACGCAGTCGCTTTTGGGACCAGACCGGGGCCGGAGAATAACAGTGCCTCTGTCCCAGGTGGCCTGTCACGCTCACAGACACGAGTCCCCCTCGTTCATCCCGCTCAGGGTCAAAGGACACAAGTTCTACTTTCTTCTGGACAAAGAGGGGACTGTGAACAACGCGAGGCTGTTTGACATCACTGTTGGTGCTTACCGGCCCGTTTAGGTTCTTGTTACTGTGACACTGTTGTGAAAACTGTATCGGACACCAATGGAACACTGGTTGTGTTATTTACATGGCTGCCAAACAAATACGTCAGATTCTGTTTCATTATCTCTTCAATTAAATAAAATCTAAGAGATCAAACATCCTCCCGGATCCATCTTTTCATATATGTTCACAATATATGTTTAGTTTCTTTCATATGTATTGTCTCCATTATGTTGGTTATTCTGTAGACACATTTGTGGCACATCTGTTCATCCTGGGAGAGGGACACCTCCTCAGTTCCTCTTCCTGAGGTTTCTTCCATTTATTTCCACCGTTAAGAGTTTTTCCTTATTTGCAGCAAGGATCCAAAGACAGAGGATGTCGTATGCTACACAGATTCTAAAGCCTCATGAGGCAAACTTGTGATATAAATAAAATTGACTATTTCATATTTAAAATCACTTAGAATTAACAATAAGTAATTTGAAATCACTCATGCAACAGATAACAGTTTGAATAAATATGCTGTGGAATTAAAATGAAAAATGTCTTTGCGTTTTCTGACTGTTTGTCTACTCGTGTGCGTATACATACGGTGATCTGCTCCATGAGAACAGCATTGGTGGCCTCAGTTTCATGCAGGAGGCTGTTCATGTGCTCCATACTGCGCGTGGCTGTGATCAGCTTTACACTGAGCTCTTGTTTGGTAGGCTCCACCGTCCACACAACAGGCTCTAGGGACCAAACCAAAGACAAGTTTAAGATCACAGTTTTAGAAAGTCATGGGCAGAGAAGCTGATTTACATAGCACAATACATAAATACATCAATAACAATCCCTCCAGTCTATGGTGAAGTAGAATTTGTTTTACTTATTTACAAGTTACCATTCCTTGACCCATACAAAGATGGTGACAGGATGAGTGTTCAGCGTTTGTCTTTGATTAAATATGCAGAGTTCTGTGCACGTTGCTTTGACAAAACTGAATAACTGTTACAAGGGGCCCCTCCAGTTTCAAACATACCTTGTTTAGGGTCCGGGGACATGAGCAGCTGCTCCAGAGAGGGCAGGGGCAACAGAGCAGGGGCCGGGCTCTCTGTCTCGGTGGTCTCCATGCCCTCGCCCTCCTCTCTGGCCATAGACTGGAGGTCGCTGAGGGCCATTATTCCCATACCTGCCGTGTTGTGGTCCGTGTTTCTGCGCTGGGGGTCCGACGACAGGGACTTACGGCTGGACTGGACCGCCACTGAACCTGAAAGTGTGTAAAGGTTGAGAGAAGTTATTAATTGTTTGGCAGGTGAATATAAGCATATTAAAAAGCAGAGAATGCGGTAAAACAACACAAAAATACATTTCAAAACAAGATTGTTATTTAAAAATATTCATAATTTATTAAAGGGTGGGTTGCATAAACTAGGATAAAATCAAAGGTTATCTGTAATTTAAGTTTCAACTAAGACTCTTTTGTTACGTTGAACACAAAAATTGTGTTCATTTTTTGTTGCCTGATGTTTACCAGTGTGAACAGTGCAAAAGCTAAATAAATAAGGGTTTAAAATACATAAATAAATATTTTTTGGATGCCTATTGTCAAAGAGCACCTCTGAACTCTGTGCCGAGGATCAATCTGTAACCACACTAAACACAACCCCTGCTTAATTTAACACCAAATTGTTCGTCAGTGTCCTACTTCATTGCGACATGAGGGGGCACCAGACACATTGGTGTGAACCAGATCTTCAGTTGGCATAAACAATGACGACAACAAGTGTGAATAGAAAGGAGAGAAAGAAGGGTGAGGCTCTTGAGGGAGTTGGTGGACAAAAGAGAAGATTATGATTAATGGACCAATAGACCAGACACTAAACCTCCCCTCAGCTTCACACCTCCTCTCCACATGCAGCGGAGTGAGATGCTGAAGTGCTACATGTGTACATCTGCTTTGTTTGTGTAAATGCATTGGAGTTTGATCAGATTTTGTAGCCTGATCAGGGTTCAGAAAAACATCTTTGGCCTATAATACTGTGTCTGCGTAATGGTGCTACTTCTGATACTTCTCCTGACTTAACACTCCTCGTCATAGTATGAGCACAGATGTAATTAATTAAATCTGTTATAGGCTCACCACTCAGGAGGAAAGACTCATGATAAATCAACCTGTAGTGGTAAAAGCTATGAGGGGATTAAAAGACAGAAATTTACAATAGAATGAATTTCCTGGACCCAAATACTGAGCACAGTTTCTGGAACTGGAACCAGTATTTGTAATTTGTGTTTATGTTCTGATATATAGGATTGATTAAGGAGTAAACGGGACAAAACAATGAATATAGATCAATTTTACTGTTGTTATTTTTTTCATTAAAAAAATAATATGAGGCCAGTAAAAATGGTCCAGGGGCCAGCAGTGTTATGGCCCACCAATAAACACACTGGTGTTGAACCCTTCTGCATTTTAACTGCCATTACATGCAAATACAGAGGTTAAAAGGCTCAAGCACAACTTTCAGTAAAGGCTAACATTGCCTCCCCCACACACACATATATCGGGCTAATCCTGGTGTGCATGTGCGAGCCGCTAATGATGAGTCTCTCCAGATGCCACAGTGAGCTGTTCGCCACACTGAGAGGCGGGAATGGAGCCGACGAGGTCCGCCAACACCTGGCTAACACAGCAAAGAGAAGAAACACGCACACACACCCTTTTCCTAGTCAATGTGTGTATTTGCCGTTTGACTGCAGAGGGCAGCTGTGTGGGAGGTGATGAATGAGCTTCCAATGCTGCTCTACTGATAAACACACCAACACGCCCTTTCCTCCGTTCTCTGTCCCATCATTCCTCTGATAGAGAAGCACAGCAAACAAGACAGAAACTTCAGTGCTCTTAACACCTGCAGATGCTTTGATGGATCTCTTCACATGATACCATTCATGCAGTGCATTACTGCAGTCTATTTGAGCAGCATTCACTTATTGGATCATTCTGCCTCATAATATAATAGATACATTTGTTACCTCACCTGTTTCCAATCCGGTACTTATTGCCTGATGTATTTAAACGGATCAAGTTGTTTTAATGCTTACTGTTCTGGCTCTGCAGGCGGAAGAGTTGCTCCTCGACGCGGGTCAGCTGGCTCTGCAGGGTCTCCACGGTGGCCCGGTGGTCATCCTGCAGCTTCCTCAGCTGCTCCCTGTAGGTGTGGCGCTGGGCCTCGAGCTGGGAAGACAGGTCAGCCTGAGCCTGGGACACGTCCGACCTCAGAGCCACGTTCTCCGACTGCACCGACAGCAGCCTGGAGGCGGACACAGAGTGAGAATCAGTAGGAATGTCATATGAGAGGAAATGTTAGGAGGCATATCGGGAGTGTGAGAATACATATAATGTATAAACTTGGTCGTTTTGTAAACGAGGGACAAGCCAGCTCACCTCTCACGGAGCTCGGCCTCCTTGCTGACGTTTTCCTGCAGGATTTTGTTGTGTCTCTCCTGCAGAGTGTCGTGCTCAGTCTGGAGCTGCTGCAGCTCGGCCGTGCTGCTCTGGAGGCTCTGCTGGCTATCTGCCAGCCTGGACCTCAGCTGTTCTACCTGGGAGGAAAACTGCTCCCTGCCAGACACACCACATATTCATTATGTTCACACCAGTCCGACAATGTTGACTGACACATAGTAAACATGATCCATTGAGTAGCTGCCTCTGTGCCTGCAATTTTATTACAAAAACATCTAAATTCTTTCCCACGTGATATGTTTACCGTTTCTGGTTGCAACCCTGCATCTTCATGCACAATTGTCATACAGGTGTCGTCCTTACCTCTCTACTTTTGAGTCTCCTTCGCTCTGGGCAGTGGTTTTAGTCTTCTGCTGTTTGAGCACATTGTGGACTCGCACCTTATAGCCGTCAAACTCGCCAGATGTTGCCATGAGCTCAGCCTGGAATCAGCACAAAGATGTGCAGTAAATAACGTAGCACACGTTCACTGGAGATTCTAAAAACACTTTTGCGCAGAGTAGCAGTAGATACAGATGTCAGAAAAAATAAGACAAGCATATGAAGAGTTTGCTCAATGCTTCTTGGCTGGTTCCACATTTGCAGATAGATAGTACATGTTGGGGGTGTCTTAGATATTAGACATGTTTTTCTACAGCCAAAAGATTGCAGTCACATCTCAGTGGTGCAAAAAACAAGAAGCTGATTAATCGATTAGTCATTTCATCGGCAATCAATTAACAAAACAAATGTTGTTGCACTTTTTTTGCCGCCCTATATATTGCCGTTCTCTCTAAGTACTATGTGTGTGTGTGTGTGTGTGTGTACCTTAGCAGTATCTCTCTCCTGCTGCAGGCTGTTGATGCGTTGCTGCAAGGAGCTGTTGGTTCTCTGTTGCTGTTCCAACGCAGACCTCAGCTGCTCCTGCAGACGATGTCGCTCACCCGTGAGCTCACTCACCTCGATCTCAACGCACAAACACACACAGACCTTAATGTTAGACAATGTTGATTTATAAAACTAGATACTTTACCAAAAGGGATAGCTGAGAGAAGTTTTTCTAGGAATTCTGGCTGTGATACCTTGGAGTTTTCTAGTTGCTGTTGATTAGCCTCCAGCTCGCCTTTCAGAGAGGCCTGCAGCATCATGAGGGAGCTTTCCTGCATACACACACACACACAAATTTAGATGCATACACCCATATAAACAAACACGGCAACACATTAACTATGCCCAACATCTTCAAGGCCTCCCCAACGATCATGCCCACATAACACTATTTACATTCATCAGGCAGCAATGTCACACACGGTAACAAAAAATCCTGTGGGTGGGACACACACACACACACACACACACACACACACACACACACACACACACACACACCTGCATCTTGGCATCAGCCAAGTCCTTCTTGGTCTTCACCAGCAGCTGTTTCATCTTGGAGGTTTTCTCCTCCCCCTGGTCCAGCTGGGACTTCAAAGCCTCTGGAGAGACAAACACACATGCACACAGGCAGATGTGCACACAGACAGAATAAACATTTTAGTAGAAAAACATAGTGTCCCGAGATTTTTTTTCGCCTTTTTCATTTATTACACAGCTCGACAGTGCAGAGAAACACGGAGAGAGGCAGAAAATGGCACAAAACAGAGGGCCCTGCAGCTACACGTAGACAGTAAATCATTACAGCTCTGCCGGAATAATAGATGTTTACCATCAGCGGACGCGGACTGGAGTTCCTAAAACTGTGCACTAACGTTAGACCTGCAGTATTTATTACTTTGTCAATATCAAAAGGACCTAGAGTACATTGTGCATTCTTTTATTAGAAATTATAATTGGGCTGGTGAGTGTCAGCCCTCTCTGGTGTGATGGCTCTGATGCAGTTTGTTTGATGGCATATTTAATGTAGAACTGGTGAATACCACACCGGTTGTAGGTCTGACCGATCTTAGCGACTCATACGCACCGATTTCCTGTTTGAGTGAGTCCTCCTTCTGGGTCAGAGTGTTTATCTGGGCCTTTGACTCCTCAGCACACTCCTCTCTATCCAAGAGTTTGGCATTGAGCTCTCTCACCAGGCGTTCGTAGTCGGCCATCTCCATGTCCAGCAGAGAGCTCTGCTGCGCCTCCTAGAGGCAGAGCCAAGATACTACATCATTACGGCGAGCAAAGCTACAACCTGATCTCTCTTCAGTCAGGTCATTCTCTCAAACCTTTAGCTAGTTTAGAATGAAAACTCCTGTTCAACAACTGACGTCATCTTCATCCATCATTTTATTGATCATTTAAGACTTAAAATAATAATTTACAGAGCCAAATCAAGTTTAAAATGAGCAGTTGTCCTACTTAAAGATAGTCTTAAATAAAAGATGGATATGACAATAAAATAGTCTTTCAAGAGATTTCTTTATCTGTGAATGTGACTTTTGAGTCACAAATACTGTGTCTGTTGGGCTGTACTACCAATGTGGCCACATGACATGAAGTCAGACCTCCACGTATACTGCTGTACTCCACTAATGGAAAAGAAACAGCAGCTTCTGTGCTGTGGGCTACATTTGCTCTCTTTCTTTGTGAAAGGTGCTGCTGTAGCTGCAGGCCGGCCATCACCAGTCCAGTCGCTTGACTGGACATGCCCTCAGAGACACTAGTGTCCGAGAAGCAGAGTGTGTGTGTGTGTGTGTACCTTGCGTAGCTGCTCCAGCTCCTGGGCAGTCTGCTGAGACTTTTGCTGCTGCTTGCGGAGCTGGGCTGACAGCTCTTCGATCTCCTTCGTTGCAGATGACAAGTCCTGGAGAAGCAAGCCAACACACATGCATACACACATAAAAAAAAAAGGGTTTTCAGTGTCTATGTACCGTGATTTCATATAATTATATCAACCTTTATAAACGTACAGCCGTGTAGGTCATATGAGTTTTTTAAGTTAGTCAGTATTTGTAAAATCCTTTGAACCATGTGGCTCGATTATAAGATCAAAATACTAGATTGGGAGCAGAGGCTGGTGTTAACACAGAGTATCCATCTCTCCTTATTTCTACCTTGATCTTCTGTTCTTTCATGGCTCTCTCAGCCAGCAGGTCTCTGTCCAGACCGGTTGACTGTCTTTGCAGCTCCTGGTTTTGAGCTTCCAGCTGCTTCACTGTGCTCCTGGTCATCTCCATACAGGCCAGCAGGTTCTCCTTCTCACTGCTAAGTGTCTCCGTCTGTAAAAGCATTAACAGTTCATGGTATCTCTTCTATCAGGTGATACAGTTACACCTCCAAGATGGCGACTTCTCAGGAAGAGAAAATACGTTCGATGAAACAAGGGGTCCCAGTTTTGACTCTGATGAGTTGAGAATATTCTCAACTGCCGTTGTGCTCATTTCAGATTCAAGGCTTTTACCTGAAAATGCACATGTGGGCAAATGCACCACAACTGTGTGAACACACGTGACACATTCTAGAGTCATTCATGCAAATCTGACAGCGCCAGGCTCTGAGGGATTTCTCTGCAAGGAACACTGAACCAGCAGCAGCAGCAGCAGCTACCTCCCCTCATCTGTCAGCCAAACACTGAAGCTATGATCGGTAAACAGAGATGTCCAGACGTACTCTTAGATCCCTGACTAGCTCTCAGTCTGCCTGCGCCGCCCCCACCCACCCCCCGAGACCCATGAGTGCACACAAGTATAAACCTGTGTCTCAGAGAACCGTGTTGCACTAGCACAGAGCAGATGGAAGCTATAGTCCGCTCCATTTACCTGCCTGTTGTTCTCTCATTGGAAAGCGACAGTTATGAGCTTGGGGAGAGCAGTATATATATACACATATATATACACACACACACACACACACACACACATATATATATATATACACAGTACATACATATACATATACACATACACATATATATATATATACACACACATACATATATACACACACACACACACATGCATCTTTACAAATTTCTCCCCAGCTCACCCAGTCACATCCGATGGGCTATTTGTGGCTGGGTAAAGTGTCGCTGGCTAAAACGACTCACTGTAAATCAGATAGAAACTGAGTTATGAGAGAAGCATTGGACAGATCTATTGCTGGACGAAGCGGCACTGCTGCGTAGATTTGCTGGAGGGTGAGAGCAGTTTTGTGCATTTGTTAGTAATAATGTTCAGGTGTGTGTGATTGAGTGTTTGTTTGCGTTACCAGTGTGACAGCACTGCTGAGTCGTTTGGTCAGCTCAGTGATCTGTCTCTCCGCCTCCACCACTTTCTCTCTCTCCTTATCCAGCTGCTCCGTCTGCCTGTCGTAATCTATCTGCATATTCTACACAAACGCACACATACTCATTCATTAGTGGACAGCTCAGTGAAGGTAAACACTGCATCTCAGATGTGAGTATGTGGGACAAAACTCTCATTAGACACAACAGACTGGTTTCCTCTCTAATGGAGGCACAGTCGTAAAGCACAGTGCCGTCTGGGGGCTGCTTATGGAGACCTCTGCGAGGGAAATCGGGGGGAAAGAAATGACATTTTCAAAGCAAGCATGCTTCCACTTGCCAATTAGCATATATTAGGAATGCATACAATGAATCAAATGTTTAACGATCACAAACAGTCAGTTTCATTTCGGGTCAGTTCATGTTGGACTTCTCCTTTAAAGAAAATATAATCATTTAAATAGTCCAACAGCTGGAGAGACATCTAGACACCAACACGTTCTGTCACTTTCAATCAGCCATGGAGGCAAAATAAATAATATTTATAAATAGTGCTTTGTGTTGTCAATATCCTTACATGGAAAACACTACGAATATTAGTACATTACATACTTACCCATGCTCTATTTTGGAATCTAGCAGAAATATTTTTTATTTGTTCTTAAGTTCATCGTTCGGTACATCAGTAGAAATAATGACTTACAGTAAAATATGCCACTGTTACTGACTGCAGGTCCGGTGTCTAAACCTGGCAGCAGCTATTTGCATCACTGTCTTTGTGGAAGTAACTTTTACTGTCAGACACCATTACAGAATGTAAGCAGGATATTCTGGTAGCTCTTCTGTCCCACATAGTCACTTACCTTGTAGCCTTCAGCACCATGGATGATATCTTTCATGGAGCTGTTCACTTTCTCCCTCTCTGCTCTCAGTGATTCTACTTCTTCCTTGAGGGATGCAACCTGGAAGAAAAAACGAATAAATCGTGGATTCAGCCATGTAAGCACAGGGGGGAAAAAAGTATAACCTGCAGGAAACACTGTAGCATGTAAACTCAAACGCCATATTCATGTTGTTAAATATAGAAAGGCAACATTTACTCTACCTCTTTCTTACTGGTTTCCAGCTCCTTCTTTGCTTTGATGGCCACGGCCTTGATTTTGTTCATCTTCTCATCTTTTTCTTTGAGTCCTTTCTCCAGGAGAGCTGAGGGGAGCAGCAGTTACAAGGTCTGAGTAATTTATAATCTATAATTTATGCAAACTAAATTGTTTCTTTTGAAAGACCATATATTTAGTAAAATAACAACAAGTGTCACCTATTTTCTTTGTGATCTCACCGGCTGCATTTTCCTCAGAGGAAGTCCACTGAGCAGCAGACTCCTGAGAGAGAAAACATCAGAAGAAGAAAAAAAAAAAAAAACACTCAAATTACACATGATTGTTTATTGTTTTTAAAGGAAGTATTGGGTTGTTTTTAGGTTTGAAGCTGCTGATGTCTAATCTTTTTACTCAAACATTATCATTTCCATGAGAGAAATTTTCCCAAAAAATTGGCATCCTTTTTGTTTTTCTCCAGAATTGGATTTCAGGTTGAGTGGATAAACCCAACCCTCCTCCGAGTGACAGAAAACAACAACGGCAGTATTTCTAGAGCTAAAAGAAAACGTTGCATTTATCTGTTATTTTGTCAATAAATGCAGACAGCCTTCTAGACAAACTTGTCCTTTGTCATGCCGTCACCTGCACATGTTAAATATTTTACTATATAACTTTAAGTCACCGTGTTACAGTTGGGATTTTGGCAATTTCCAATGGTGCTACCAGAAAAGGCATCTTTACAGACAGCCGTCATGAATCTGATTATTGTGGCTTCTTGATCATGTCTGATTAGGCAGTTAAATGGTCGATCACAATTCATTATTTAGAATATTTATGGTCAGGGACTAAAATCAGGTTGAATTCCCATTTCTTGTAGACTACAAAGTGTTGTTCTCTCACCTGGAGAGCAGCAATTTCATTCCTCAACTGAGATATGAGCGAATCCTTCTCTGTCAGCTGGTCTTTGAGCTCTCTCGTCTCCTTCTCCATTTCCCCTTCCTCCTTTTCTTCTGTCTCTTGAGTCATCTGAGAAATGTGAGCCTGCAGTCTCTGGTTCTCCACATTAACCTTCTCGTTGACGGACTTCATATCCTCCAGGTCTTTCTGCAGCCCTTCGGTATCCTTCACCACCTCCTCCAGGTTGTTCCTCGACATGCTCCTCTCCTGTTCCAGGTCTGCGATACGAGCCTGGAGCTCCTTCACCACCTCCTCTAATCCCATCACCCCTTGAGACTCCTCCAGACTATTCCTCTGCAGCACCTTCTCCTTCTCCAGCTCCTCCACACGTGCTCGGAGCTCCTCAACTTCCTCTGTGTAGGTTTTGAGCATGCCAGAATGATTTTCCTCCAGGGCTGTGATGGAGGTGCGGGCCCGATCTCCCTCCTCTGCCAGCGAATTTAACTTTGCCTCCAGGTGATTCTTTTCAGACGTCTCCTGCTCTAGCCGAGCTTCCAGGGCGGCCATCTCGGAGCCCAAATGCTCCCTTGTTTCCTGAGCTTTGGAAAGCCCAGAAGATGCCTCTTCATACTGTTGTTGGAGGTCGGCCTTCTCTGTGGAGAGGTCTTTGATAGTCAGCTCTAAAGCAGAAACCGTCTCCTGTCGTCTTTCCAAAGCCTCTCTCAGGCCCTCCTCCATCTTCTCCCTCTCCTCTTTCAGGTGTTGCACTTCATCCTCCCTCTCTTTTTCCAGGCTCTTCAAATCCTTCTCGTTCTCCAGAAGCATCCTCTCGATTTCTTTTGTCCTATCGTTGTTCAGCTGTTCCATTTCCTCTCCTCTGTGCTGAAGCTGGGACCGCATTTCATCCCGCTCTTCAGTCAGCATGTTGACCACCTCTTTCAGTTCTTGAGTCGTGTTTTCCTTCACTTGCAGTTGGGAGAGGATCTCCACATTCTCCCGGGTCAGTTCCTCCACAGATTGCTTCAGCTCACAGGCCAAAGCTGTTTGCTCCTCTACGGACGACTGGAGCTTCTGGTCCTCTCCTGCGAAACCTTCAAGCTTCAGCCTCAGGTCTTGTAGGTTCTTCATCAGAGTGTTTCTCTCCTCCAACATTTCATCCCTCTCTTGGCTAAGTTGTTCCATCTTGTCTTGGAGTTCCCGTTCAGCAATTGCACCTTGCTCCGTCATGGCTTTGTACTGAAGAACAACATTTGTCATCTTCTCACCCAGTTCTGTCTCCACACCTTGTATTATGTCTGTCATGTGTTGACACTCGGTCACAGCAGAGTCTCTTTCTCTGGTCAGAGCCTCACACTGGGCCTTCAGCGCCTCTGGATTCAAAGGGCTTTGGACCACAGGACTGATTGCTGATTCGCTTCCATCTTTGTGCGCTTCACTCTGCTGCTGAAAGTCTCCTTGGACTTCCTGTTGGTCAGGGTCCAGGGTTACGGCCGGGTCACTGGGAGCACTTTCCCGGCTCATCTGCAACTCATTGATTTTGAACTCCATCTCTTCTCTCTCTATCTGAAACTCCTCCTTGGCCCTCTCCAGCTCTGCCTCGAGCTCACTCTTCACATTGCTGAGCAGGGTGAGCTCGTCCTGCAACATGGTGCTCTGGGATTGGAGTTCATCCATGGCTGCTCTCAGTCTTCCGGTCTCCGTCTCCTCCCCATCGCTGTGGCTGGAGTCCCCCTGACTGCAGGCAGACAGCTCCAGCATTTTGGCAATCCCTGAACCGCGGGCCGGGTCCTCGTCTTCCTCCTGCACATCCTGCAGGTAGCTGTCTGGAAAAATAAAGGGTACCGTTAGCTGGAAAAGTATTTTCTAATCTAGAGATTAGGCTTCTGTTTTGGCCTCTTTGTTTAAACGAAGTGCCGCTTTACCTTTGAGAGCGAGCTGCTCCGTCAGCTCCTCGTGGAGCAACAGGAGACGCTCCCTCTCAATTTCCCAGTCCTCCTCCAGAGCCCTCATCTCGTCTTCGTGCTGCAGACTCTTCTGAGCCAGCTCCTCCTTCAGGTTCTCCACCTCCTGCTGGGTCTTTGTCAACTCCCTTTGGCGGCTCTCCTGCAGCTCGCCGATCTCCTGGGATTTCAGCTCTTGGGTCGCTTCCAGGTCAGCTCGAAGGGATTCCAGCTTAGCTTCTAAGCAAAGGCGGACCTCTTCGGCGCTTTCTTTTGCACTGGCATGTTCAGCCAGGCGCTCCCTCTCTCTTTCTCTTTCACTCTCCCTCTCCCTGTCACTTTCTTCTCGCTCTTTCAGCAATTTCTGGAAATAAGACACTTCTTCTTGGTGTTTGTTGTTGGATTCCTCAACACTGCTCTCTAGGCTCTTGATCTTTCTCTGGTGGTCTTCTATTACACGGGCAAGCTCTCCTTGCAGCACTAACAGATCACCCTGCACAAAAAGAACAGTTTTGTTACGCAATCTGTATTATAAGCGGCATGCATCAATCAATGGATTTAACAATCTCAAAGGTCACAGAGTGCTCAGAGAAACCCTGTAGAATTCAGTAAAACTGGCACATGAATCAGTCATTTAGTATTTGTGTTGTATTTCACCTCGGCTTGCTGCTTAGTCTTCTCTAGATCTTTACGAGATAGTGAAAGACTTTGCTGAGTTTCTGCCTTCTCCAGTAGTAAGGCATCCATCCTCTCAGTCAGCTCCTATTAAACACGCACCCACACGATGCAGGAAGGAAAATGAAGCACAGCTTGTTGACAGAGGAACATGTAAAGCAGACACGTGATGAAATTCTGCCCTACAAACTAACCTGTATCAGAGTGGAGTCATCTGAACTGTTGTTATAATTTTTGGATTGCTGTGTGAGGGATTTAACTTCTTTTTCCAGATCTGAAAAAGGAAGTAATGTCACATACTTACATACAGCACGTACACTATTCATCCACAGAGCCAAACAAGCCTTTACATCATTTAGACTCAAGCTAACCTGCACATCTGCCCTTCATCTTCTGCATGGCCGCCATCTGCTTCTTTGCAAACTTGATGAGGTCATCTTTGGACAGTGTGTCCAGCTGAGAATACAATATAATGAAAGAAAAGATAGAAGCATGAATCTTTACCAAAACACATATCGAACAATTAATCACGTTTATACAAATCTAGACAGGTTTGCCTCTTTGAGAAACCTGTGATTGTGCTGTACCTTTGACTTGGCTGCACCTGCTGGTGATGGAGATGCAGACTCTGCTCCAGAACCACCAGGGTCCTGTTTCAGTTAATTGAAAAAGAAGAAATGACATTTAAAAGCTCTGCAGGTGTGCCCTGTTTTTCCTGTTATTTTTGACAGCTTGACTACCGGGTCTTACAGCCAGAACGGTATTTCCTTTGAAAAATCCTAAATTTAATGTTGCCCTGCTTGTCGGCACAAGTACATTGTTGATAAAGCATGTTTTGAAAGCTGTTACGCTTTATTGAGAGTCGCTTTTCAATTCGGCATACGTATATATGACCAAGTATAAAGACTTTAACTTATATTTCGACTTTAAGAAAGGTTCGTCTTTCCCCTGTGTCGACATTTACACAGCTATCGGAGCCCTACGGTTAGTCGTCGTGGTTAATATATATGCCGGTTGTATCTGAGTAATGCTGTGAATGCTTCAGAGTAATATCATGTTCTACAAAGTAACGTACGTATCGATATTCAGCGCATTTAACTTAAATAGCAAAGATCTAGAATGAAGTTCGCTGAGTAAACAGAATATAAAAGGACAACTTAACCTAATAAATTGGTGTTTACAGCCCTGTTTCAAAGCCCCAAGAGCCGGTATTACAAACAGCAGAGCATTATATTATTATATATATATATATATATATATTATGCTATACGCGCTAAATTGAGCCAGACTGGCTAAAGCTAACTGAACATTTACCTCCATCTTAGTCGATGTTTGGCTACTTCTCGGTCGTCGGACAGCCACAGAGTCCACCGGGAAGTCTCCTGGACAGAGTCAACGCGATACCTGAAGTAATGTCCGATTTATTGGAGATGTTAATATGAAAATATCCCCTCTGTTTTGGTTAACAGGCTAAATAGCAACGACTTGCTTCCGCAAACGTCAACCACGAGACGTCAGCATAGGCTACGTCACACGTTCAACAGGATCTTTTTCAACGGTTGAGCCAAAGATCAACATCCACGGGTTGTTCCGTTTCTTTGACAGATCGTAGGCTTATGAATTGTACACCTACCATCTGACATCTTGTCAGATACAAAGATATAATATGTTGTTGTTTTTATGTGGAAATGAAAAATACTAGAAGGCTAATGAAGTTTACCTGACACCCTTTGGACACCTTGTGGTTCCCAGGAACCAACAAACAACTCTTTTAACCAATATTACAGGGTTGCATTGCATATCAGCCCGCCTACAGTGTGACCTGGAGGTACAAATATCATTAACCACACATCTGATGTCTGAAGGCCTCCAGCGTGTGTCACAACTGAGTGATGAAAAGGTCAAATTAAGACCTTTAACCTGTTTTGAGAGAGATGGTTTGAAGGCCAAACAAGATTACTATATAGAAAAGTGAGGGTGATAAAGTGAGACACTTTAATGGCTGTTACACAGATGAGTAGCATTCCATTGCACTCTGACATTGGAACCATTTATGAAAGTAAGCTACATTACATGTGTGACTTAAAGTGGGTGTAGCCTACATCACAGGCAGCCGAGGTAGCACTTTGTTTTTTTTTTAAAAGACCTTGTTAGTTAGAAGAAGCATATCCCAATAGTTTTTTACCCACAGTTTGCTAACAATGAACATGTTGTAAAGTACATGTTAGTGTTTTAATGTCCTTAATAGTTTTTACACAATTTGTTTTTACCACAAAACGTATTAAAAAATAAATTACACTAAAATAATGCAAATATGTATATGAATGAACTTCACAATACACACTTTTTTCATGTGTTCTGAATTTGATCCATCCAAAGTTATCAGTTGTTATTGGTTTGCAAGCCTGTGCTGCTAGACATGTGGGTATGTTCATAACCTTTGTGTACAATAATTAAATATAAGATCTCAGTAATATAAGATATTCGATTTTGATTAAAAAAAGATCTTTCTTCATTTTAATTTCATTAACTTCATTACAATAAATACAATTCTGATTGTTTTAGTTTAACTATTAAAAACAGCATATCTCTCTTTCATTAACACATGCAGTGGAGTTGTCAGAATAAGATCAGCCAGATGACCAGTATTGAAAAAGTCCCAGAAATGAACAGAACACGGAGACCTGGATTAAAAACAGTTTGGAGACAGCACACAGTTTGACATGGTAGCTGCAGACAGCACATACTGAGGATGAGAACCTAAAACGAACTGCTCTGATTGTTTTTTACTGTATATGCAAGGCTATATGGGGCATAAAATCATCCCAAAGCTGTCTGATACATGATGTTGGAGACTGCTATGGGGGGGTATCTGCCCTCATGCTGACATCAGGCCTGTCACAAAGTCAGTGAATGGCTATCGCTGTGCTTCTGTATTCCCATCACGTGAGGTTCAGTTTTATCTATTGAATATGGAGAGCACCTGTTTTGACACGAGTGATAGAAGCACTGACAGAGGCCGCTTAGCGAGATGCCGCTCATCCTGACAAGGCGTGGGTGCTCTGTGCAGAGGGGCAGGCGCTCTGCCGACTCCCTGTCTCATCTGGAAGAGACCCATCCCTGCCTTCCACTCCGCCTGGGTCAAACACACCCATCCATCACAGCCCTTCCCTTGTGTTCTCCCAGGGCATCGAGCAGTATTCTGCAGCCATTTTTCTCCCCCCACTCGTGGCCGTCAGTCAGGGACGGCTTTGCAGTAATATAACTGACACCGGCTGGCATTCAGGGAGTAATGAATAGCCTAGCTGGGTCTATCAGGACACTCTTTCATGCTTCTCTCACTCTGTTTTTATTTATTTCTCTCTCTCTCTTGCTAGTTTTGTCTCGACATAACCAGATTTAAAACTAACAGAAAGTGCGATACATCCTCCTCTTCACTGCCTGTCCCTCCCCATCTCTTATAAGGGCTCCTCCTATTTTATTAATACAGACGTGTTTTGTACATTTGACTATGTAAATGGAAATTTTGCAAAAATGTTGGAAAATTTAAATAAAATGACAGTCGGCGATCATAGTAAACTAAATGTAAAAAAACATTTGTTAAAAGGAACTTTGAAAGAATATATTTTCACAAAAATGGCATCTGCTTCATGTCTACAAAGGTTACTTTTACTTTTTAAGATGCAAGTTTTTCAAAAAGTTCTCCTTTGTGTATTTTATTTTTAGATGGAGCCCTTATTTTACTTGCAATGAGAGAACATTTATTTATGTATTTCTATGTATTATTTATAATCCATCCAGTTAAATTTGAAAACTGAGAATAATAATGTAATTGATGTGTACTTTCTTTATTTGATTTGACAGTTGTTGACTACACACATACTATATATATATATATATATATATATATATATATATATATATATAGTACTAAATAGTGCAAATTAGATATTATTGTAATGTTCCGGTCCTTTGCACGAGGAGATTTTCTCAATCTGGAACCTTTTGGGATTATAATTAAATACCCCTGTGATAGACCTTCACCATCCCAGCATAGCTAAGATGGGTGGGGAGCCCCCCAGGAAGCCTGACCACAGTCGAATAAAATAAAATGAAATATCTTCATAAGAAATTAGCACCATGCTACATCATCAGAATAAAATCTGACGGTCTGCAGACCCTATGAGCAGTGGTTTTCCGCGGCCTGCCTCAGAGCCGTCCAGGCGTCTTCTGTGGAGTTGTTGAAAACAGTAGGGGCAGGTTCAATTCAATTCAATTTATTTTTGTATAGACCAAAATCACAAATTTGCCTCAGAGGGCTTTACAATCTGCACACATACGACATCCTCTGTCCCAGGACCCTCACATCGGAACAGGAAAAACTCCCCCAAAAAACCCTTTAACGGGGAGAAAAGAGGAAGAGACCTGTGGGAGAGCAACAGAGGAGGGATCCCTCTCCCAGGATGGACAGAAGTGCAATAGATGTCATGTGTACAGAATGAACAACATTTACAGAGTTACAACACATTCAATGCACATGACAGAACCACAGCAGGAGGCAAGACCAGGGTCCAGATATAACCATGATCCATAGAAACCTGTGAGGAGAGAAAGCATGAGTGAGTGAATGAGAGCATAGAAACACTGTCCTAATGTAGGAAGTTAGGTGAGAGTATCTTACCCCATCATCCTACATCGGACACACCGGCAGCCTGTAGTGAGCTCTGAGATAGACGGGTAGCATTGAAGACTGGCCAACCATCTTTACTGTGTGCCGACGGCAGCCTGCGGCTTGCCCTGCACAGTGATCACTATGCAGGACTCAAGAGCGCGACTGAGTCTTCCCCCCTAGTTCAAACGCTCACCGTCAGCATTGGTTCCGAGAAGCCAGGGCTACTACCTGCATAAGACAGAACCACGGCAGGAGGCAAGACCAGGGTCCAGCACACACTGGCAGCCTGTAGTGAGCTCTGAGATAGACTGGTAGCAATATTGAAGATGACGCGTCAACACTCTAATTCGAGAACATGCATGTTCCATCCAGCATTCCATTCTATTCTAAATGGAATTTTATGAATTCTTTTATGAATTCACCATTTGCTAGTTCAGCGATCACCATGTTTTCCATGGCACAGTTTTCACAAAACTCCACACATTATGACCCATTAGCAGTAATGAAATAACACTGTATGTGGTCTCCAACCTTTTTTGCACCAAGGACCGGTTTCATGTAAGACGATATTTTCAAGGTGTGGCGGAAAAACACGACGAAATAAAATGATACGATCGGCATGAAAACAAATATAAAATGCATAAATAAATACAACTCACAATAACGCTGAATCAGTGGGAGCCCAGAGCTTGTTTCTCTGCAACGAGACTGTCCCATTTGGGGGTAATGGGAGACAATGGGTACATCCCAAGTCTCTTAATTGCATCCCCGTTTCCTTCACTTGGGTCCTTTCCTTGCGTCTTAGTCCCTCCCACCAGGGATGCATGGAGGAAACCATGCGAGGAGAGAGGAACGAGGAAATGACAATTAGGAGACTTGGATGTACCCATATTCTGCAGAGCGGGTTTGGCGTGTCAGAATTACTCCTGATATTTAATCAGACTCCTGATATTGTCTGTTAAATGAAGCTTTAATTTTCTTGGAAGTTGTAGGCTATTTTCTGTCTCCTTAGTGGGCCTTTCCCCCTTTGCAAAGAATTTCTCCAAGAGTTATTTACTAATTTTCGCTAGTTTGCGGGCTTAATTTTTGAGGTATCACGTGACCGAGACAAGCGTCTTGACATGTGTCAAGAGGCTCAGGCGATGGAATTGCGAGAGAATCCGGTCATTTTTCAAAATAAAACTTCTTTCAGACTGATAATCAATAAAACGGAAATAATATAATATTTATTCTTTCTGTGCGGCCCGGTACCAAATGATCCACGGCCGGGTACCGGTCCACGGCCCGGTGGTTGGGGACCACTGTGTTAAAAATAGTCTTGTCCTAACAGTGACAAAAGCTGAATGCACATTTGTTATATTGTCTATGTGAGTTAAAATTGTTTACAGGGCATGAAAAACAGCTATTAAGTTAAAAGAGCAAAGGAAGTTTATGCTAGAGGTGCTAAATAATTATATATTGTGATTGGGAATATTTCTAACTTTCTTGCGAGAGAGATACAACTCTCTGTATGGTAAATATGAAACTACAGTCAGTTAGCTTAGCTTAGCATAAAGATTAGAAACAGCGGAAACCTACCAGCACTTAAAAAGGCTCACTAATTAACCTGTTATATTCATACCAAAAACCAAAGGGTAAAAACAACACATTTTTACAGGGCACTGTGGCTTTCGTTGTCCATTAGAGAGAGCCAGGCTAGCTGTTTCCTGTCTTGTGCTAAGCTAAGCACACTGGCTGCTAGCTGTAGCTTCATATTTAGCATACGGGCATATGAGTGGCATCAATCTTCCTATTTAAATCTTAGCAACAAAAAGAACTATTGCTTAAAAAG